GGGGAGTGAGTGAGCGGCTGCGTGGTGCTTAGTTGCTGGCTGGGTTAAACCACGACACTCTGACACCTGGGTCTGCTCAGGTTACTGCAGTGCCTTCTCCACTGTCAACAAGTAGAGCCAAAAGGAAACATTAAATGTTTCTCTCCATTTGGGATTTTGTTTGCCTAACATATCATTGCTGTCCCAACACAGCATTATCAGACATAAAGCTGTAGTTCCTGCAACGTCCGATCTTCAAACTTTTTTCAAAAATTTCTGTTGACTTCAGCTGCACCACAATGAACACTATGAGAAGGAAACACACACGTACACACCCCCCTTCTCAGAACACACACTATGAATATGTACATGGGATTAAAGTTAAGCAGTTGGCAACCTTCTGACTAAGTATGGGTGCATCTAATGAAATTAGGCATGTACAGCCTTAGAAAGTCCAGAAAAAGGGTGGGTTAACTTCCTTCTTGGATGGGGGCAAGTTTTAGAAACCTAAGCCCCAGCATGGTATTTAGCTGAACTGAGCCTTTGTCTGTGAGTAGAAATTAAAAGGTGTTTGGGGGAGACACAAAGCTGAATTTAACCAGCCAACTCATAGGCCGGGGACGGTATATCTCCTCTTCTAGAACCCCAAAAGGCCAACAAATACCCCAGTTCGTTACCATCACTATCTGGTAGGCTTTGCCATGCTGGTCTCAACACTATCACTTATGCAAAACTCCTTCCACATGTGCACTCATCACCCCATTGAGAATCGCTCATCTTGGGTTTAGTTCTCTTTTCTTTTGGAGGTGTGTTTTTACACACCTAACGTTCTCATAAACTGCTTTTCTACTTCATTGAAAGCAACTTGGAATCTGCACACTGCGCAAAGCAATCTAGATTAATGGATTCACAGCTTCCCTCTGAATCATGTGAAATCCAGAGAGATTATACTGAGGAAAATGGACTTCTTGCATTTCTCTTTTTTTTTTATCAATAACAGAAAAAGGGAAAATAAACCAGAAGCAAGTCAGTCCAGAATATTCCTTCATTTTAAATGCAAAGCTTCAGACTACAGCTGAAGCTACTACTTTGGTATACAAGGGGAAGATGGCATTTAATTCTGTTTTTTTGCTATGCCTTAGTAGTTTGCAAGAAGAACCCTTACAAGATTGTTGCTTAAATGACGTTTAGATAACAGGCTTTTTAAAACCATGAGAAAGGACAGCCTGTGTTTACAAAATGACAACTCATCAAAGCAGAAACAATAGATGACAATGTGACTAACAAGCAAAGAGGAAAATGACGCAAAGAGCAACACCCACAGCATTAAATATGACGGCCACTTACGCTTTTTCCAGAAATGCGTCCCTTGACATGTTCTGTGCCAACAGATTTGTTGCCAAACTGAACACTTCATCTGACCATTCCTATAGAGAGAAAATTTGATTAAATGAGGTTTAGTTTAGATGTTTACTTACACAATGCAAAATATTTTTGAAAATTATATTGTTAGTAAAAAGGGCCTAATTAAAGTCTGAACTTGATTTTTCTAATTACAGCTTCCTTCCTCATCTGTGAAACCTGATTTTTCTCATGCTGCAAAAAAAATGAAGACTTACAAATATTTTTTTAAAGATATCTTATTCCACTGAATTGAAAAAAAAAATCATATGGATAAATGTCTGATGCAAAACACATTCAAGTTCCTGGAAGATGTGCAATAAATGCCTCAGAAGAACACATTTTCTTGTGTGTTGGACACTGTTCTGATTGACACGCTAAGGATTAAAAAAGGAGCCTCTATACTACCATTCTTATAAAATGAAGTGGAAATGGGCTTAAATCCCTCTAAAGACAGACAGACCTGACAGGGTGGGCTACAGACCATACCACAGCAAGTCTCTTGCTTCAATGTCCCCTCTTCTAAGAGCTCGTTGTGAATGCCTCCGCATCACTCTCTCTACAGAACATGAGGTAATGCAGACAAGAAATATCACGCCTTATCTTTTATGGTGGATACCAAATTAAGAACTGTAAGTACTGGCTCTATCTAAGATCTTACCAGTCAACACAAGAAAAACGCCAAAAAACCCCCAAACCAGCAGAAATATATAGAAATAATTTTAAATTATTCTGATATATAAGGAAGAAGATGCAACTCCAAATAGAAAAGCTCCTTTTCCCCCTACTGTACATCCTTACACTGTGGTCCTATCCCTCACTAAATTATTTTTCCCTCTTGCTACCCCAACGTATGGAATAAATGTCCTCCAGCTGTTCACAGGAAACTTCCCTTCTCTGCCTGCAGGCACTGCTCTTCCCATGGCTCTCCCTCACTTTTCCTTTCTTTATTTTCCTGACTTACTTTTCCTCATTTCCATGCATGTTGCTGAAGTCCTTCCCTTAGGTCTCTGACCTTTCCTAGGTTCCCAGCAAGGCTGATCCATGATTATAATCTGAAGTTTAGACTCTCACTGCTTGTCCTGTCGCCCTCCTCCCTTGCAGGTCTATTCTGCAGCTTTTCATCGACAACTTCAGTGCATTTTTCCTTGCTAACTCAGTGTTTATTTACAATCTTTAGTTGCAATCCTTTTTAATCACAACTGCAGTTTTGGATTGGCTTTGTTTCACCCCTTTAAAAGAAAGGGACATAAATAAGCAATGCCTTTGCAAACAATGTGTTTTGGTTTGGGTTTTTTTTTTACTTGATGAAGTTTTCCAAGTTGTCATTCAAACTAAAATTGAGTTTCCTTTCATATCAGACGAGATCCAAAATTCCCACTGCCACACAGCCTCTCAGATGCATATACTCTCTGGGAGGTATTCCCTCTCCTTGTCTCTTCTTTTTCTTGAGGAAAAATACAAAAAAGGGGGGGATTTCATTCTGACAAAAATTGATAGTGATGAAAAGTATCATTGACTTCCAATGAAACAAATGTTGCTACGTCACTTTGGAGGTTATGGTTTGTTTTACCTAAAAAGCCTCAGGTGACATCAGGTGACTAGGTGATTGATTTGATAGAGGTTCTGAAGTTATAGGTTTTTTCTATTTTTTTTTAACATGCTAAGGTTTTTTTCCCCAAAGTTATCAGATCTTGTTCCTGAAACCGGTCTCACACAATTGCTCCCAGCGAGGAAGAGATAAGGCTACCTATATGCCTACTGTTATATGGGCCTTTGATATCCCTCAGCTATCAGATCCTTAAGTCCACCCCATTTACCACCTCACCCCTAAGCAGCTCAGACAACACATCTCCCCATGACTGTTATTTCTGGCAGAGAAACCTTCTTCCCTCAGACACAGATTTGTTGTTCTGCAGGCAAATCACTGTTGCTGAAACAGTCCTCCCCTCCACCTCACGTGACCACTTCCATTTTTCTTCTTTAATTGTTTTTCCTTCTTAGGTCCAATGTGAAAAAAAACCAGGGGCGTGAAAAAGAACAAGAGAAGGAGTTGGGTTCTTTAGCAACACAACTGCTTTGCTGTGACTCTTGGAACAGAGAGCGTATTAAGTGCAGCGTCTTTTTTTCTTCTTGGCAACTCATTTTTCTAGGCTCAAAATAGGCTCATCTCGTAAACACTTCTTTGTTTAGGCACTAATAGTAGCAGTTAAAACTTCTCCCTGTGACACTAACGGCTGCAGAGATTAATAGCAATATAAAATATTATTTAGAAATTGAAAATATGTTGGCTTTTGAGAGAGCTTGTAGACTTTGTTTTGATCTTACTGGTTCTGCTGGGCTTAAAACTGAAGTATTTTGTAGAAATCAGAAGTAGGGCACTTCAGGAGTATCCCACACCCCAGCTCATCCTTCTCTTTGTCCGAGTGCTTGTTGACAGGAATATAAGGGGAACTCAGCTATTATGTGCCTGTCACAAGCATTATTTATATAAACAGTCTTGCCATGTTCCTTTGCTAGCTTTTCCTGGCTCTTCAAAGCGATCACATCGCTCTTGCCAAATATTCTAAGGGCTACCTGCAGGCTGAGCCATTTCTGACGATGCAGGTGCCAAGTCAACAAGTCACAAGCAACACTTGCTCATTGCCTTTCCCATTTTAGGGTCTTCGTTCCAGCCACCACAGAGCTGCAGCCAAAAAACCAAGATCAGAAAATATGCCAAGGATCACATCATCTTTCCAGTCACTGGTCTGAACCCTCAGCAGGAGGGGAAACAACAGCCCTGAGCACTGACCCAAAGAAATAAAGGAGATGCTTTGGACTGACTTTGATGGGCTTGCACCAAGCTGTGAGCCAAGATGCGTCTCACTGCTTTAGCTACCAAATGGCTCTGTTTCCTTGGTTTTGCTGCATGCTACAGAGTAAAGCCCATACTCTTTAACTCCATGCATGATGCGCTCTGCAGCTGTCTTTACCAGCAGCAGCTATTCCAGAAGGCAGTGCTCAGTGAGAGTGCTCTGCAGGGTAGAAAGCTTTTGTGTGTAGAAAGAAAACAGCCTACTGTGGAAAGGCTATAACACCCTCTGCATCACCATGGTAGCTGCAGACTCCTGTACAGTTGCAATACAAAAGGAAAATATAAATCTGGGTATTTTGAAATAGGACTGTACTAGTGCCAACAAACCATTTGCAAACTGGGAGTCTCTGATCCTGTTCGGTAGCGGAAGAACCCAGCCTTCCAACATTCAACTCTGAGCAAGTAACATCCATCATGATAAGAGCTCCCTGAACTCGATCCCCTCTCGGCTACGTCCCGTTACACCAATTCATGTTTCTATCATTCCTGTGAACTTTACTAACAAATTATTTAACTGTTCTGTGCTTTGGCAGGTAGCGTATAAGCAGCAGTTCATTTGGAAATCTGTTGCTCAGTGAAGTAATTTCTCTCCTCTGTTACACGCATCAGGATACATACAGCAAGACATTTATCTCAACAGAAGAGATGAGACTTTTTTTCATAAGAAAAGACAGCGCACATTCTTGAAAACACTTCCTTCAAATCAGAGCTGACTACGTGTGAAGGCAATGTTTCTCGCACATTTGTTTTTGGTGGGAGGTTAACAAAGCAAGCTGCTGAAATTCTACACTTTTGGCATCCTTATGAAATTTTTTTTTTAAATGTATCAAATGGACACGAATTGATACGGTTTGTTTTACCATTTTGTTATACTGATCAATCTCTTGAATATGCCTAAGAAGCTGGAAAAATAAAGACCCGTGGTGGAAAGCATAGTATATAGCACAACTTGTGAATCATCTCTGACTACATCATTTTACTTATGGAGGAATTAATCAGCTCTTAGTGATGGATCTGATCCAAAGCTCATCAAACTGAGGAGAAACAGATTTCCTTGGGCTCTGGATAGGGGTCTGTATGGCCAGGATGGACCAGTGTGGTGAGAACAGAGTTGGCATGAGAGGCACAAAAGAGAATGAGAGGAAAGAGATGGGAAAGATGGGATGTTCAATTTTGAAGTTACTGGATTTGGGAAGAGAATGAAATACTGTAGAGGAGACACAGAGGTTCACAGGTTGTACTTCACATTGGGAACAGAGACAGAGAAGAGGAGCATCCTCTCAGAATAGGGTTTGAGAATAAACTTCTTTCTTTATCCTGGCTTCTGCAGTGCTACGATTGTGGATGCTCACAAATCCTATCCCAAAAGAGGCACAGGCACACCCATCTGAAAATAAGCAAGCACTGTATCAGTGCTACTTCTTTTCATCATCAAGACGTGTCTAGCAATCTGCCTTTTAGACCATTACCTAATGAATTTCTTTGCTAAGGTAATACTTTGCTAAGCTGCATTCTTTGAACAAACCAGCTGCTGAGTGCCCTTCAGCTCATCACTAATGTACTTTAAACATTAGTTACTTTCTCCTGGAGGAATGCACATAAAACAGTACATTGTGACTACATCATCATTTCTAGCTCTTTATTTAGTTCACTTAGGAGCAAGCTGAATAGCCCAAGGCTCATAGTTTCATAATTTTTGCACAACTTGGCCAGTGGATGTGATGAACAGAGTTTGTAGCAGAACAGGAAGCCTTCTGCAAAGGAAGAAAACCACATAATCAAATAATTTTAACTGCCTCACCCAGACTATTACAGTTTACTTTGCCTTTCTCCTCCAAGGGAGGACTGATCAATATTTGTCACACAACTTGAAAAATAAGGTATCACAAATGAAGGGTTAATCTGAAAAATATTCATGCACTGAAAAGGGAAAGGTGGGGAAGGTTTTCATTGGCACTTGTTTTCCCTGCAATATCAGTGAGAGGAACGGTCAAAATTTGCATGTGTGATGTTGAAAACATCTTGTATTTACATGCCTTCTTGGACCTCCCTGATGTGCTTATTTATAATGACTCCTCCAAGTCACCACATGGGTCCTGGAGATGATAAGGACCAGATTCTGTGGTCTGGCTCATATAGAATTGGAAAACATGTTAAAGCAAGAAGAATTTTTAGATGCATTCAACAGTGATCAAACTCTGCTTTCATTGAAACAATCAGGATATTTAGCACAATTTCAGGGCAAGCACAGCTAATTTGCAATGCTTTGAAAATCCCATCCCCAGGCTATAGTGCCTGATTGATAAAATAGGAATTTGGTCTACCGCATTTACAAACAACATGGAAGACTTAGATTCTTAGTTACTCAGATCGTAGGAGTTACTCAGGATTTAGAACAGCCAAGCTCTTCTAAAACATGATTTTATCTACAGCATTTTTAAGGTTCCATCACCAAACAGAAAATGGTCCTAAAATACCACTTTCTGCACTGTTTTATCAAACAGATTATGGTTCACTGATTGCTGGCTAAACAAGAAAGAGAAAAAGAAGGACATAAGCCTCTGATTTGGGTGATTTTCCCTCTTCCTTGGTAAGGGCTAAAAATGTTTGCTGGTAAATCTTTAGCATACCTTTTGATTTTCCATCTTATACTTAGTTGTTTTTCCCCCCCTGAAGAGTTGTTTCAATTGCTTTCACTTTTGCTGCATTAAGATTTCTTAACCAGCCCTGTAGAGTATAGCTGTGCGTTTTCAAGTCTGAGGATAGCACTTCCCACTCAGCAGTCCACCGACCACCACAAACAGATTTTGTTTCTATTCTTTCGTATCGAAGAAACAGTGGAAATTGTGGTTTTGCCAAGTTGACCAACTGGCTAATGAAGATTAGCAGACACAGAAACCTAGCAAGCAAAAATATATCCTCCTAGCTTAAGGCATTCATCCTATGACCTTTTTTCACCTGGTGTGATCATCCTTGTTACCTGTGAGGTGACAAAATAACTCCTTACTGTTTTTAAATAACAGCAGTCTACAGAAAAACTCTTTTTAGCACAATCTAGTGGTCTTGAGAAGGCAAACTGTACGGAAGTGTGTTCTGTGTGTGGTTATCTGGAGGCTGTAATCAGAGTGACCCATACAATGGAAGTGGAAAGAGTAGCAGCTTTTGAATGCCAATTTGGAATAGATAAAGCAAAGAGCTCCCACTTTATTAAACACAATTGAGTTGTACAGAAATTGGAAGAAGAAAAAAAACCAAACCCAAAACATGTACTAATATCAATTGGAACTTGCTTAGCAAGCACAACTGTGTTTTATGTGGTGTGTTGGACAGAAATGAAATGACTGTATACCTGCATGGAAAAAATACTTTGCTAAGGTAATGACGTTGACTACACAATTCTTATCAAGGGCTATCAGTAGGCAAAATACGATGCTTAAAATTGACCTTCAAACATGAACAGAAACATTCATGTATGCAAGTTAACCAAGGTGCCTGATTGCTGACAAACTTGAGTATACAAGGTAGAGCTGTAGATTCCCACTACTCTGATATAGGCCAACCTTAAAAAGTCAGCTGTTTACAAACTTTGTTCTCACAGATGATCCATAATTCACACACACTTAGAACAAGCATAAAAGGGTGATAACTACTGAAAGATATTGAACTGTGTTCAGAGAGTCACAGTATACATCTTATAGCTGAGTAAAAATTTGCATGTACCATTGTTTTCACAATACTTATTTGGGCTTTACAAGCAATGTTCTGAAGATAAGCACACATATCAGGGGCATAAACTTTGCTGAAAAAACCCCCCCCCCCCCCCCCCAAATGATTGCGCATTTCTTCTTGGGTACTGAGTGGCACAGCTCTATAACAGAACTGAGGTTCATTTCATAACAATCTCCACTTTTATCTCCTTTATCCACATCTCAAAGCAACACTTCAAAAACATTAATTTTATATGACACAGATGAATGTATATTACCTTTGCTATATCCTCTTGGAATGCCACCAAGTTCAAGTATGATATATTGACCAGGTCTGGACCATAGACAACAGTTATCATTCGATTTTCCAGTCGACCTCCTAGGTTCCCAGTATCCAACAGTTCACGCAGTTTTGGATCCTGCAGGTAAATACATTACAAAATAGTGAAAAATCTTTTGCAAATATTTACACTAAAAGGGGTGATTATTTTTGCAAATACTGCAATTTTGAAAACTTGTGTTATTTGAACATTTTAAACATGATGGTGTTAGGTTCTGATCCAGTTAATTATTCATTTGAAGTTATTAACCAAGAATAAAAAGAAAATCACTACTGTAAATCCCTCAAAGCCTTTGAGCTCTGTATTGGTACAGACTAAAAGCTGTCCAGTTGATGGCTGCACACTCCTACTCTCAGTTATTCTGCCTCAGAAGTTAAGCATACATAAACTGTTTTGCTTGTCAAAATAACAGTTTGTCCAAAGGCTACGGGCCTCAGCAGAGACATTCTCTATGATTTTAATGGATTTTAGATAAAACTCAAACTGAGAACTTAGTTTTTCCTGAAGAATTAAGACGACTGTCTGGAATTAACTGTCTTAAACACTATGAAATGAATAATGGAATTTTGGTGATGCCCTCTTCTTTCTTCTTCATGTTCAAAAGGGCATGTATTATTTAACTCATGAGATGCATTCCATTTATATTGAGGTTTTGGTCTTTTTTTTCAGGTTTATATCCAATATAGAATCATAGAATCATTTAGGTTGGAAAAGACCTTTAAGATCATTGAGTCCAATGATTAACCTAACGCTGCCAAGTCCACCACTAAACCATTCCCTAAGCACCACATCTACATGTCTTTTAAGTACCTCCAGGGATGGCAACTCAAGCGCTTCCCTGGGCAGCCTGTTCCAATGCTTAATATAGAAATGACTACATGACATTTCTGTGAAGGAAAGATATAGTCAATGATTTTTATCAGCTGTTAATAGCCTGAACCTCAGCTTTATTGGTAGCATAAGTATGTGAGAAAAAAAACTCAGGTTATTTTGTAACTCTACTAGTTTCTAAAAGGCTGCAGTATTTCTAAGAAATACACTCAGTGTTTTTCAAACTAAGAAGACTGCTTGGTCCTTGGCCTCAAGATGAAGCTTATAAAGGCAAAGACAGATAAAAAGAAGCCCTGCATGACTGAATTCAATCCTTTGAATAGGGCCAGTATAATCTGAAAGCTCGAGTTTCCTAAAAGGCAAGTTTTTTTCAGTCTGGTACAAATATGAAAAAATGGCCAGCAAATAGTATCACTATGGGATGACAAATTCTGTGCAGAGATCAAATGATTTCAAAACTGACACAAATATATACTGCGGTTTACATTTCACTCTCACATGAACATTTTCCCCCCACTGTCTGCACATTTAGTGTCTATGGTACTTCTTAATATTTAATAACTTTTGAATAAGAATCTAAATCTCTACCAACTGTTACAAATTAAATTTAGTATAACAGGACAATTAGCTTAAGATGACAAAAAGGGCCATTTTTTATGTCTCTTGCAGGAAATCCTACATCAACAAGACCTCAGTCTAAAGGGCATCCCCTGATTGGTATCGTATCTGCTTGTAGGCAATGGAGTTATGTGTATGTCCACCAAATACTTCACAAGGGTTAGGAGAGCATTTTGAAGTGTGGTGCATTAACTGGAAAGAAAGTGCAAGGCTGTCTATCATAAAATGCTGAGCCTCATTAAATACTGGGTATGATGGCAAGCGTCGCAGGAAAACAGACAGAATAATCCTATCTGAGGGCTCTGTAAAGAAGGAATATGATTGTGCTCTGAGACAAAGACGATTTCATGCGTAAACAAGTTAATGACAGGCTTTCACATAAGAGAAAAACAGAAGAGGGATATAAAAATAGTAGTTGCATTCCAGAGATGAGGATTTGAAGGAGAAAGACAAAGAAATTGTATAATTTACATTGAGGAGAAAAGCTAGAGAAATGCCCTGAAGATCCTAAGTTAGTGGTGGTACATTACTAGATGGGTTACCTTCTCTTTTATTTAAAGGCTGAATGTTACAAAGCTTAGTTTAATTTCTCTGGGAGATGATAATTCATCCGCTTTTTACTCTCTACTGTTTCAAACCCCAAATCAGACTGATAAATGCTACCCTTCAAGGGCCTGTCTGGGAAGAGCATCATTCTTTCTGAACTCAAACTGAACAGGACTGTCTATCTGGTTTTATTCTCTTTCACATATTTGTCATTCCTTTCTTCCTTTCCCTGGCTGAACCTCTTGCTCACGTTCACTCTTGGTGATGAACTGCAATTATATCAACAAAAGAAGGAAGATAAACTTCTCCCTTCGTATTTATAGTCACCTGCAGGATGTCTCTATGATGGATCATACTCTAATTAGTCTAAGATACGCATTAGCCATGCATCACAGAATAAAAATGAAACATATTTGAAATGGGATGTTTTTTCAAAGCAAATTCATCAAAAGAGAAGTTATCTGGAACTGGCTCAGTAGGGTTTTTAGAAGTGCAGACTAAGTGGCCAATCAGGTAATGCGAGTATGAATTTGGTCTTCCAAATGACAGGATTTTTCTCCAGGTTTTAAAGGCAAGACATTAGACAGACCATCCTCTTTGGGTTGCTGGGTTTGGATGTGTAAAATGTTAAATTATTCTATTCTGTTTAAGAGTTGTCTAACAAAATTTGAAGCGCACAGTCCCTTACAGCAATACATTATCTGGACACCATCTAGCACCTATTAATAAAGGGCATACACTGCATATCCTTGGCTATCTCAGTGTTACCTGCAACGTGCTCCACAAACTTAAGAGATACTTTTATTATAAGTTCAGTGGAAGAGAATAATTTTGATACTAACAGGATTCACACACTTGTTGACCCCTGCCATAGGTGTATTTACCCTTTAAGGATGACAGATACATTTCGACTTGTCAGTGACAACTTAGCCCTTAGCTGATGATCTAGGTTATATTATCTGGTCCTTAGATCCAAAGTTCTCAAACTTAGATACCAACGCACACTGTGAGCTCTTCACATTCCTCATGAACAGCTCTGCTCCCTTATTACCACACTTAGCTGTGAACACTACTAAGGAGATGAGCAAAATACCCTTTATCAAAATCTTGAAGACTGTTGAAGCTCTATGAATCAAAGCCCTTTTTAAAATGTCAGCAAGTTTTCCTGTGGAGATGATAGGAAAGCACATGGAAAAAAAACCAAGCAGCAAGACCAAATTTAGCTTCTTTTATGTAAATCGGATTACTTTGATTTCGATAATTCCGTTTTGGGGAACGAGCCTGAAAGTCTGCTGCTCTTTGGAGCTGCATTTGATATACTGGCTCATGAGCGGACAGATTGGTTTTTGGCATAAGCTGTTTGATAGACTAGGGCCTTATTATGAAAATACTGAACTCTTTGAGAGACATTCAGAACAATTATACCTATTAAATATTAATCATAGTAATTTTTTGAACATCTGAGCTACTGATGCTCTAGCACATTAGGGAACATGCCCATGGGATGCTCAATGAACAGCAGGCTATTGACAATGCCCATGTAACTCATGGAAGTTCCCTTCCTAGCGCAATGATTTGTCTGCTTTGATGTTTTCTGACAAAGGAGCATTCTTTTGCCTCTTTTACTCAAAAGGTCTAGGTGTCAGCTTGCTTTTTCCCTTCCACTGAAGTCTAGCAGGATCTTCAGCTCAAGGACTGCCTGAATACTTGCCCTGAAACCAGGTCAGGAAAGCCAGTGTTTCTGATGGGACACCTCTGTGGTTAAAGCGCTGACAGATTCCCGGAGGGAGATGTAAATTGTGAGCATGCAAACGCAGAGGAGGTGACAAAGATGGTATTGGCAGCACAAACAGCTTTAGAATCCATTAAAAATCAGCTTAACCATGTCAAATTGAGGCAGGAGTTGGCCAGAGGACTATCTGCTCATTTGGTAAAAAGCCTTCCCTATTTGGTCCTGCTGTCTTGACAAAACTGTCAGAAGAAAATATACTTTAAATCAATCCAAAACAAAAACAGGAAATACAAAAAATAGCAAGAAACACACACAAAAAATTAAAAGCTTATGGAATTCTCACAACTTCAATGACCAAACACTGAATAATCATGTTTTGTTAGAAACCAGGACCCTGCAGACAGATGGATAAAAATATATTTCAATCAGACTTCCAAAACTTTCTCCTATTGTATTTTCCTTTTGCTGGAAATCATAAAAATAATGTAAACTTAAAGAGGCTACTCAGCCACATTAATGACAAATCACAGTGAAGACTGCTTTCAGCTGTGGTTGGTGTTATTAAAATGTAGCTCTTAACACTGAAATCCCAATTAGCCTGTGCTCTGCACATTACAGTAAATGCTGTAACATCTTTTAATAGTATCTCCAGCTCTTTTAAACTTTTTTTCTGAAAACTTGCAACAAACCATCTGTCTGCAAAAATTTTCTGCTTTTTTAATACATTGCCATACATATATATAAAAGGCTGCCCTGCAGTTCAGTAAAACTCCAACATTGATTTAAACACACCAAGGGGCAGCAGGTCAGGCAAGGCTTCACCTCAGATGTAATGCACCACCTTTTGTTACTAATGCTTCTCAAAGCTGCAGCACCATCTCTGAGAGCAGCTGCCTCTGATCCCAGACCTAAATGAAACAGTAAAAGAACCTGTCCAATGCTAAAGATTTTCCTCAGGTTTTAATAGTTACAGACAATGTGATGGCCAAACTGTGATATCAAAAGATAGCCAGAACTTCTGAGTTGCTAGAACAGTTGTGCAATTAAAGTATAAGAAATTTTTCAGTGTTTGAAGACATTAATTTACAATGCAAAAAATCTAAAGGAGTCATTATGGACTACTCTACATGTATAGATGATATACAGTGTGTACTATATTATCTATACAATATTCACTCCTGTGCATGCAAAATGCCATATACTCCCTGCCCCCTAACAGCTATCATCTGAAATTATTTTCTCACACATCTCATGCAGTAAAACATTGTCTTTAAGATGTCAATTAAATACTTGAGTCCTACTGAAGCTATAGCCATAAAAGGGGTCCCAAAGCCCCCCAAAAGTAGATGTC